TGTCATAGCTGTCACTGATTTTTTCTTTTTCTTTTGGTAGTCCAGTTTATAATGCAGGGCAGTACCTGATTGTGAAGAACAGACATTGTGTTTACCCTGGAAACCAGCTTTGGAGTTTGCCAGGGCTTGATCTTCCCTGTATCTTTCCTGTCAATAGCAGGACAACTGATCTGACTCTTGAAATCACACATATACTTTGCCAGACCAGCTACCCCAATATCTTGTCTCTGACACAGGCAAATTGCAGACATCTGGAGGACAGTGTATGTCTAAAGCCGTATGGTGATATTTTCTTGATGTACTGCTTTGGCTGCCAATGACTTTTGTTTCAAGGACTCTGAAGGAAGAAATCTGTATTAGTATTTTATAGCCCTTAATAGGATTTTCTTCCATGCATCTGATTAACAGTTTTTAAACCCATGTAGACAATGTTTTATGAATAGGACTGTAAAGTATCTTTCACATATTTTTGATAAATAAGAGAAATAAATTAAAATCATACTGAACACTGTCTTGTGCTCTTGGCGCAGTCTTGATCATTACATTGATGTCACTTGGCATAAAAATTGTTTCTAATCCTTCATTTGGCACTTTGATTCTTCATCTCATTTTGCTGATTTGGCTAACAGAGCAGCACTTTAGTGTCATCATCATCATGGCTAGGCTTCGCGAACGAAGATTTGGGAAGGGCTTTACCCACGTTTGTTGCAGGCACGTTGGTGGCTAAAAAGGCCAATACGAGATAGACATGTCCGATTGCAAAAGGCACAGCAGAAAGACTCCTTAGATGGTATATTCTGCAAGGCACGATTCTTTCTGCATTGTCTTTTCTCCTCAAGAGTGATCCTGCGTGCTTTCTCAAAAGCATCCGCAGCATTATAGACAGTGTGTCTCCAGGCCTCCCGATTGGAGGCCAGAGTAGACCAGTTATGATGATCAGTGTGGCCAAGGCTGAGATGTTGTTTCAGGGAGTCCTTGTATCTTCTCTTCGGGGCTCCTCTCATTTGGCAACCAGAGGCAAGTTCACCATAAAGCAAGATCTTAGGGAGGCGGTGGTCCTTCATCCTGGAGACGTGTCCTGCCCAACGCAGCTGTGTTCTCAGCAACATGGCCTCAATACTTGTGACTGCTGCTTGTTCTAGAACAGATGTATTGGTCACATAATCTGACCAGTGAATGTTTAGGATTTTGCAGAGACAGTGTTGATGGAAGCGTTCTAGGAGTTGCAGGTGGTGGCGGTAGATGGCCCATGATTCAGATCCGTATAAGAGAGTAGACAGCACTATGGCTTTGTAAACACTGATCTTTGTACTTTTCTTCAAGTGTTTATTTCGCCAAACTCTTTTATGAAGCTTTCCAAAAGCACTATATGCCTTTGCTAACCTGTTGTCTATCTCTCCATCAATCTTACCATCCAAGGAGATGAGGCTGCCTAGGTAATTAAACTGCTGGACTGATTTGAGCACTGATTCGCCAATGGTGATATGGGGATGAAGACTTCTTGAGGTGCAGGTTGATAGAGAACTTCTTTAAGCTGACTCCCAACCCAAAGAGCTCAGCAGTGTCTGCAAAGCAGGATGTTAAACGCTGCAGAGCTGCTTCTGTGTGTGCAACAAGGGCGGTGTCATCAGCATAAAGCAGCTCCCGGACAAGATGAGCACTTTAGTGTAAGGCTCTTCAAAAACTACAGAAACTTCAAGAGCCTCTCTATAGGTTGTAGCAAACCCACACTTCACCCCAAAGATGAGGTAGAACTGCATGTAAAGGCAGATGACAGGATATTGCTGTAGTTTGTAGAGGAGCCAAATGTCTGGGGCTGCAGTCTAGGAAGTATGCCAGAGACAGGCCCAAGATTTGAAATCAGAGCAGGAGAGCCTGGATGCCCCCATTTGTGCTTGCATTCATCAGCCTATTTGTAACAACAGTGTAATACCCAGTTTTTGTCTTCAGGTGAGGCTTTAAAAAATGTATTTATCTCAACAGCCATTTCTTTATTCAGTCATTCCCACTCCAGAATGGTTATCCTGTGTGTAAATATAGAGTACCACAATTGTGGTTTACCATACAAAGAGAGGCATCTAGTGGGTATCTCTGTATCTGGTCTATGAAAAGTGGCTCTATATAGTTAATATTTAACCTCCTTATCAGTATGCCTTGATGTTTGTAGACTTGAGAGCACAGCTTACTGAGCCTGCAAACTCTGTTGATGCACTGAGCCATCTCTGCATGTCTGTGAGTGGGAAGGTGGGAGGAATCGTGTATCAGTTACTAATGATCTGAAGATGGCAGCATTGGGTGAACTATCGCATTTTCTTGGCTGAGCAGAACTCTCTTAAATAGTAAATTGTAATTGCTCCATATGGCAAATTTATAAAAAAATCAGCTTTTCTTTTGAAGGGCTTTTCTCAGTGCTATAGTTGTATGCCACCAGTTAGTAGTAGGCAGATGTATTGCCATTTTGTATGTGTTTTACTTAGGTTGGTTATACTGAGAGTACGTGTCTTGTAAATAATAAAGTTTGGCTCTCATCAGCAAGTGTTGGCTCATAAATATAACTCCGTTTTATAATAGTAACAATTATAATAATTTTTGAACTAAAGTAAAAGAAGCTCCAGGAGGAAGTGGAATTTAGGTCTCTCTGTCTTGCGAACAGGATACCCATTCACCCTGGACAGCAGGGATTGCTCTCTCCTGTGGCTGTGTTAGCTCTCTGCCTTCTGCCCCTTTCATTCCCTGGAGCGCACATCCTCAGGGGAGTGGAGAATGTTTCTCTTCCCTTGCTCCTCTGGCCCTATAGATTGCTAAGTGGGCATTGGACTTTCTCCAGGGACCAGCATGACACTGATTTTTTCTTCCTCAGCCTGAGAAAGGTCGACAGGAAAGGTGTCCCACATATGGGGACAAAGTCATGGCTGCTCTTACAGGTCTTTAACAAACACTAGACTTTTTAGCCACTGTTGCTTTTAAGAATGAAAATGAGCATGATCACTGTGTTTTATTGGGAGCCAAATCCTGCTGTGTATCTGTCAGAATGTTTATGCTTACAGCATATGGCCTGATGGGTTCCTTTAGAGGAGTTGGGAAGGAGGGGGCAAATTCAAAGATGAGATTTAAGTGTAAAGCTGAGTAGTTCATTGCTGACAGTGTCAGCATGTAGAGAACAAGGACTGTTGCCTCCTGAAGGTTTTTCTGGCAAAATATTTAGGCAGGAAAGCGGCATTTGTACTCTTGGTGGTAGGTCTCTCAGCTTCACTCATTGCTCCTACAGCAATACCTTTGTCATTTTGTGTACCTGGTGGTTTGTCCCTGAGATGACATTTTTGGAAATGAGTTGTCTTCTTCTAAGTGGGGACATTAGCTCATTGCATATACTGAAAAATTTTATGCCAGCTTGACTTAGCTGCGTCAATAGCAAAGCCAGAGATGGAAATTTGATTTTTTTTTTGTTCTCTTTGATGATGTTGTGTTTTCACCTCCCCTTGTGGATGTCTGTGCCTTTGACTGCTGCGATGGAATCTGACTTAAAACATTTGAAATTTCTGCAACTGATTCTTCTTCTCAGCTGACTTAGCAGGTTTGGATCAGACACAGGGCTCATGTTTTTATTTTTTCTTTCATTACACCCTTCTGCACAGTGCCATGCTGGATGAATCACTAGCTCTGCAGAAACTTTGATGAGGCAAAGCAATTAGTAATTTCTGGACTTCTAAACATTTGTTGAACTTAAAAGAGGTGTTAATTTCTACTCTTTTACATTTAGTATGCTAAATACTGGAAGAGTGGGGTATTAAGGAGGACCTGTATGGGAAAAGATCATTGTGTTAGGATCCATTCTTAAGTTATTTGAAAAATTCAAGATTTAGTACAAAATACTGGGTTGGTTCTTATCTTTAATTCATGTTTCCTGCAAAGACAATTAAATCTGCTAGGTTCAGTGATGTCTCTTTACACAAAACCTGAAATTGTCAGATAATGTAAAAAACTCACGTATATACAGATGTGTGTGTATATATGTGCAATATTTTTGTGTAAGTTAGAAATCAGCTTCCTAAAACCTTTATGTAGAAATAGTTACTATCTTAATCTCAACTGTTTGATCTAATATCAAAAAGCAATCTCGATGTCTCATAACAAAACCAAACTAAAACTCAGTACCATAGGAGCAGAAGAGTCTGTCATCTTCTGCATTTAGTGGACAGTGGGCTATCTGTGCTTCTTAAGGTCTTCCTAACGTTTAACTTTGTTGGGTGGCTACAGCAAAGTTAAATACCACAATATTATTCTCATTTAGCATATCTCTTTCACAGCTTCTCGTCAATTTTACAGCTCAGATATGTTACCTGATTGAATGTAGACCTGAAAAACAACTGCAATGGATTGGTCAAGTAAACTCATTTGACTGACTATAATTTTCTTTCTGTAATTTAAGAATGCCATTTTAGTTCTTCATTTATGACAGACATTTATGACAGAGTAAAATCTAGTGAAGACTAAGGCCTGAACTCAAGAAGGCTCCTACGCGCACGCGTTTAAGTAAATTCACTATGTTGCAGACTTTAAAGCGGTGTCAGCTTGAGTGTAAAACTGAACTAGATCCCGGAGATCTTGAGAGGTTCCTAGACAGTCGGACTGACTACCTTGCAGAATTTTATTTTAAGGCATCTCATTTGTTTCAGAAGGTTTCAAAAGTCTCTGCAGATTCCTATCAATGCATTTGATACCTAAATGATCTTGCTTGTCTATTCCTAACTGGCCATTCCTGGGAACTGCTTGGTTGCCCAGAAAAAAAGCAGAATCTCACATTTTTGTTCAAAGCTCCCTTACTGCAGAACATGACATTTAAATTACTTGGCAGTAATAATGTACTGTATCTGAGTTTTATTCAAGACAGGTAATCCTGAAGAAGTGGGGCAAGTGAATGAATATGGTACTGATTGTCATTGCTTAAGTGCCCATTTGCAACTACACTATATGTATCTGAATATCTGTATATTTTACAGTGCTATTTTTTTACGATTGAATTTGGCCTTTGCAAGCAAGAAGGACAACTACGCGCTTATGGGGCAGGACTTCTGTCTTCTATTGGAGAATTAAAGGTATGTACCATTAAAGCAGAATCAACCTTTAATCTTAACAAAATAATAGTTGGATATAGATATATTGACTCTCAAATAACAGTTAAAATTCTCAAGATAAAAAGCTGATACTTAAAATGTGGTATTGACCTAAAAGCTTTGTTAGAAGTATCAGCTGGCACTTGAAGCATGAAACGGACTTGTAAGTCCCAAAGTACCAAAACAACTATAAACTACAAAACTTATTTCTGTTTGAATTTTCATTTCTTGTAAAAGGAGGCTTATGGTTTCTAACAGGTAAGGTTGCCTTGGGCCTCTAAAAGCTTTGTTTGGATGAGAAGCATGTATTTTTAACACCCACAATAAAGTGTTAGAAATCAGACATGATTGTGTTGTAAGTAATCCAGTGTATTTGGATGGATTCATTATTGATATGAAAAAACCAACAATCATTAAGGTCCATTCAGTAGATTATTCATATTTACAATTAAGGAATGTGTATAAACTCATGCTAGACTTGCCTATTAGACAATACATAGAGCCCTATTCTTATAAAGGTGAAACTGTTTAACCTTGCATGGTGTGATTAGTTGTAGCAGATGATTTATTGCCTCTTTTTGTGCCTACAAAACATGGGAAACAAGCAAAAGGTATTTTGTCACAAATGTAGTATTTTGAGACTTAGTACATCTCTCTGTTGGCAAGATGGGAGGGAAGGGTAAAGAGAGGTAAGAGTACTATCTTCAGGGACCCAAATGACCTCTTGGTGGCTTTGCAGGTAAATATTTGTTTTTCAAAAGCATATATGGAATAGTATTTCAAACTATTTTGCAATATATCTGTTGTTTATTTGTGTTAAAACATCTTCCCAACCTCCTGGGCTGGCTTTCAGTGAACTGCCTGGCAGTTTAATAGAAATACCCCAGTCTCTTTTTGCTGTTTATTTCACCTATAACAGAATATTTGTGGTGAAGCTCCTTAGTCAAACTGCTCTTCTTTCAGTAGAAGGAAAAAGGTTGAAGAAAATTACCTTTTCCAGTATTTTTTCCTTGGCTGCACTAGAGATGCTCTGAGTTCTGTGCATACTTCAGCCAAAGAAGCATTCTTTATCTGCCTGGCAATATTCTATACTCACAGCGCAAAGATGGTTAAACGCAAAGAGATGAACATGTCCTGCTTGTTTTCATCTGGCCCAACAACATTCAGTGCCGAGCCCCAAACTCTGTGCAGTATTTTGCAGAGAATCAGGCCTTTTATTTAAACTAAGAGATATAGTCACTAGGTTATGACCCTGAAAATACCTATCACATAATTTACAAAATCTAAGGGCATAAAAATGAGGAAATGGATAGTCAAGAACACAATAAGTCTTCTACCATCACTGTTATAAACAAACACATTATTCTTGTCAAGCGTGCATATTTTGGTATCACACATTTGTGATCCCAGGTCTGTATTCTTTGCTCAACAATAATCTCAGAGTTTAAGTGCAAAGAATAATCCTTTTGAAAAGCAACAGTATAAATTAAATAATTTGCCCATTAATGGACTATATTGATCTTCTTCAAAGGTATGGCCATATATATATATAATAGTAATTTTGCCATAAATCAGTAATATTATATACTTTTCTATTACTCTACATATATATCTTGTAGATATGATGCCTGAAGGGACTATTAGACCATTTGGTTTGATCTCTTGTGTATCATAAGATATTAAATTTCACCAGATTGTGCATATGCTTAGAGACTTAAATGAGACATTTTGGTTACTGAAAATTTGTGTATTGTGGGAACAGAACAGCACTGTACCACAAGTAGACATAGTCTCCATGAAGGGCCTGAGAAGGTGAAAAATGTCCAGAAAGCCTTTGTGGGACTGTGCCCCAGGGTAGAAAAGAAGGTAAAAGGTAAAGAAAAAATTGCAAAAAAATGACTAAGTTTTCTGCTAAAGTGACCATGGGAGAAGCTGTTTCTAGACCACATTCATGGGCATGAATGTGCTTCTTGTCAACAAGATACATCAGGTAGGTGCTTAGGTAGGAGAATGTCTGGGCACCCATGACTTCGGTGCACAGCCTTGCATCAAGCCATTGCCAGTCTCTGCTGTTTCGTGGGAAAGCAACCTCCCTTACTAGCCTTTTCTCTTAGCACCTATTGGGAGGGAAAATGTCTTCTTTCATCTGAAAGTTTCTGAAAAATCATGCTTATAGACTGTTCTGGAGATACTGATTATATCAATATCCTGATTATAACCAAAATCCTAATGGATGGCAGCAATTGTTCTGAAAATGATGACAATACCAGCTATTTCAGTGGTGAGTGGGGATGAATAGGAGAGCCAGATTGCATGGCCAGGAAGCCTCACCCTTGTGTGTGCAACGCACATACTTCTCATAGGTGTCAGAGTGAAAATATTTCAGAAATAATTACTGCCGTTCTTAAGACAGGGTGATTGTGGGCCCACAGTCACTTCTGTGAAGAAGTTCAAATACTTAAGTATCCTTGTCACTAGGAAGGTAGATCTTGTTTCAGTTTTGAATTTTTATACCTTGACTTTATAGAATCACAGAATAGTTTAGATTGGAAAAGGCCTTTAAGATCCTTGAATCCAACTGTCAACCCAGCGCTGTCCGGTACCATTAAGCCATGTCCTCAAGTTGCCATATCCACATATCTTTTAAATATCTCCAGGATTGGTGACTCAAGCACTTTCCTGGGCAGGCTATTCCGATATTTGGCAACCACTTCAGTGAAGAAATTTTTCCTAATATCCAGTCTAAACCTCACCTGGCGCAACTTGAGGCCATTTCCAATTGTCCTGTCACTTGCTACTCAGGAGAAGAGACTTACCCTCGCCTCAGTACAACCTCCTGTCAGGTACTTGGAGAGGGTGATAAGGTCTCCCCTGAGCTGCCTCTTCTCCAGGCTGAACAACCCCAGGTACCTCAGCACTGTCCTTCTCTGGACATGCTCCAGTGCCATAATGTCCTTTTTGTAGTGAGGGGCCCAAAACTGAACACAGAACTCGAGGTGTGGCCTCAGTGCTGAGTGCAGGGGGACAGTCACTGCCCTGGTCCTGCTGGCCATGCTATTGTTGATACAATCCAGGATGCCATTGGGCTTCTTGGCCACCAGGGCATGCTGCTGGCTCATATTCATCTGCTGTTATCCAGCACCCCCAGGTCTTTTTCTGCTGGGCCACTTTCCAGTTACTCTTCCCCAAGCCTCTATCTCTGCATAGGATTGTTGTGACCCAAGTGCAGGACCTGGCACTTGGCCTTTTTGAACCTCAACGATTGGCCTTAGCCCATCAATTCATCTTATCCAGATCCCTCTACAGAGCCTTCCTGTCCTCCAGCAGAACAATAATCATGCCAGCTTGGTCTTGTCTCCAAATTTACTGAGGGTGCATTTGAGACTGCAGAGGCATTTGTTATTAATATGCTTTTGTGAGCAAGAAGAAAAGGCTTTTTCCAACTGCTTTCCCCATCAGCTCTTTTCAATGCAGTGGTATTCACAGGAAATAACGTGGTGACCAATTTTATGTATAATTTCTAGAAATTTCTAGAAATGAATGAGCCACACTGTTTGCAGGGTGTAAACGGCCAGCAGTATTTGGTCCTTTCAGTGCAGTGAATGGCTTGTTCAGTCTTCTCTGTTCACTCTGTTCACTTACACTGCTTCACTCTGCAAATCTGGTCAACAGTTTTAGTAACAAAGAACTGTAAAAGCTAGAGAAATGTGGGCACCAACCTATCAATATAGGATTCCCTTCAAATTTTTTTCCCCACTCAGTACTTAGACTTGGAATTTCAGATACTGAAAAGTGCATTTCCTGATGTGCATGCTAGGGAAGCATCAAGTAAAAAAAAACTTGGAAAGCACAACAAAATAAGGAGAAAGAGAAGATTAAAAATGAAGCCTGGGGGAAACGAATAATACAGTAAGTAGTTATAAAATTTCTGCTTAATATAGTCAGGTTAACTCTAGCTAACACTATTACACAGTATGTATTTGGGGCTTAGAGATAAGGTGGAAATAATGTACATTTCAATTATTAAAACTACTTCTAAAAGGCAGTTCAAATGTCTTTGGAAATTTTAATCCATTTACTTTGTATGATGCTCTCTTGAACTCTTTCATTAAAGGAGCCTCTATCCATTTCAGTTGGCTGTAGATCAAGTCATATATCCCTGTTGTATGCTTCTATATTAAACGGAGAGGTAGTCTTCAAATCTTTCTGTATAAATTTTCAAGGTCAAATACAATATCTAGTTGTATTATTTTGTTTTAATGATCGTTTATTTTAAGAAGAGCCAGCATTAGCCTTTAACACCAAAAAGATTCAAATGCAAATTTTGGCTCGGTTTTCTGAAGAGGATGAAGAAAACAACTCCTGGATCCCAGATGTTCATTTTAGTACTCTTTAGAAAGTCTTTTACTTATTTGTCTAGACAATATATAAAATTGTACCACTGAAAAAGAATTTCTGGTAATATCAGGACACTGTCAGATTTGCAACTTAGCTTGTAGATAAGCAGGAAAACATTTAAGAGCAGGGTTTTCCAAGACTATGTGTACTCTACCAGGAATAACAAGGCGATAAAATCAGTACTGGTACACACACAACTTCTCAACTCAAGTTTTCCCCTTGCTGGCTGAAACTTTTACTTTTTGGGGTTTGTTTTGTTTATTTTTTCTCAAATCTGAAAAGCTCTGGGTTGTATTATTGCACTCCAATTTTTATACTCAAGAGAAATTACAAGACCAAACTTTTTTCATGTGTCAGTGATAGTGGTCACTTAAGAAATGATTCACTGTTGTGCAGTGTGTAAATGCCTGGTGCCATCTGACATGCCCCAGTATTTCTGACCGGCTGCCACTGCAAAAACATGTAAGTCTTCTTTAGATCTTGTGCTGTATCTTCCATCTTCTGTACAATGCATCAGACAACCTAGACCCGAGAGACCTGTAATGAGTAATGGTTTAATTCTTAAGCTGTCCAGTTGTCTGATACTGCTGCTTTTCCTCAGAATCAGTGATGATTAATTTGGAAGTTTTACTCCAAATTCTTATTTCTCGAACAGAAGGAGAATCACCAGTAGTTTTATTGGCATAAGCAGTTATATGATTCATATGAATGGGCCATTAGGGACAGTTATTACAGATCCACAAGATGGTAAGATGCTCTATTTTACCAAAACCTATTTTCCTTGTATTAGCCCTGACATCTCATTGGAGGGGGATAACAAAAGAGGTTTCTGTTGGAGAAATCTACTTTCTCATTTGAATTCACTGAAGAACTGAATGTCCAACCAAACCATAAGTGAATAGCATGAACTTGAAAGCTTTTGGACTCACCAGACCAAGTTTTTTTGTTGAGATTATATACTTCATAATGTTGAGAGTGCCAAGGACCAACATTTTAGAATACTGTAATGTTTCTGTAAAATGCTGTAGTCAGCTTTGAGTCAGTGTCCTGACTCTTCTAGTTCACACTAAACAGTTTATGATCCCTCTGAAGGTTTGTCTGCAAGCTCAGTTCAGTTGCTGAAGTCTTGCATTGCTGGTGTCAGTGTATCAACTCAATAGCAGATGTTACAGATGCCAGATTGTGGAATTTGAAAGCACCATCCAGACTTGCAAAGATGGAAACTTTGCTTTGGTAGCCATGACAATGCCTAATTGATCCAAGAGCCGAAGACTATGTCCTAGAAGGGAGACAGGTGACTCAGGTGGGAATTCATCGGAATTTAGGCACTTCATTCCCAAACTGCAATCTTAAGAATAACTGATCAGTTGTCACCTAACTTTGAAGGCATGTCTGAATTCTTTACCCTCTGTTTCCAGGTTGCACATTCTCTGGTGTCCTCACATCCCAGTCTCTGCAGAATTGCTTTGTGAAGCAACAGCTCTGCTCATGTGTAAACTAGACTGGAATCCAGAGTGTATGAGTCATTTCATATGGTTAATCTGAAGAGAATAGCTAGAAAGGCTTTCTCAGAGGACGTCCCCTGTGATAACTAATCAGCTTTTCCTCCTCTTTAAACTCTCTCCTTTTATAAAATCAGGGCTCAGTGACTAGAGGAGTTGTTCATGATGTAGGAGCCACAGGCTGAATCCCTTCTCGTCTCTGATGGCTTCAGTCCCAAGGACTAGGCTTGGCCTGGCAGAGGCCATTAGTAAGTAGAGAAGATAACACTGTCAACCTTTCTGTTGAAGCTTTCACAGTACAGGAAAGAATCCATAAGCCAGAAGCGGTCACCTACTGATTCAGTTCCTAAGAAATCATGGCCTGTATCATAATCTTGATTCCAGGCATAGGGCTTCACTCAGTCCTGTCAGAGTTTTAAAACTTTGTGCTTTAGGCATTTGAGGCATCAAGTCTCACCTGGAAGTACAAAGACACCTTAAGAGGAGATTTTATTAATCTATAGTTAACCTCCCAGGGAATCTATTATAATTTTCAGTGAAGAAAAGCAAATTCATTTTGATAGAAGTAGGTAAGTGCCTAAATTTACAGGCATTCACTGGTGTGGTGGCTCTGCAAAGAGAAAGTGACAACAGGGATATAGGCAGTAGCCTAATAAGGTGAGCCTGATCTGCAGTCCATTTAGAAGAGGATGCTGGTTGACAGACCATTTTTAATATTTGTTTTCAAACCTGTTCAGCTGATGGCTGGCTAGAAACAGCAAACTTTGTGAGAAGGAAAAGATACATGCACTAAAGAAAGGTAATTCTCTGACATTTCATGATTCCATACATTAATTTTTCATGTATTTATTTTTGGAGAGAGAGGAGGTGGGAGGAAGAGGCTCTCGTTCCAGTTTTCTGTCCTGTTATTTGGAGACTGCAGGTTGAGAGCTGATGTGATATTTTCAGTGCCTTTCACAGGGATTTAGGAATGAGCATAAGCAAGAGCATGGATAAAAGTTGTGGTGAATACCTTAAGGTTAATACCTTACTCTACTATAAAGAATGTCCATGCAGATAGAAAGTAAAGAAATCAGAGACACCTTTGGACCTCAGGGATCTGCTTCCTCACTGTCATTTCTTTATGCTTTTCATGCACATCTTCCACTGTGTATAGATATAAGGGGACTAAAGAAGGTTGAAAGGTGACCTAAATATACTCTTCTTCCTTACCTTGCACTGCCATAACAGAGCACTGAGAATGAAAATATGTATGCTCTGGAAGATAAGGTAGGTCCAAAAGCTAACACAAGTATTCAAGTCGAAAGGGGAGCTAGAAAAGATTGTGTTAGAAAATGTCTCAGTACCTGCTTTCCAGTTTTGAAACCTTCGTGTCCTTCTAGTGGCCTGTGCAAGTCATTTAAAGAGAAAGGCTAATCAGAAATCTCTATTCTGAGTAGCAGCATTTGATGCCTCATCTGCCCAGTGTCTGCCCTGTACTTACCTGTGTCTCTGTTTAGCTATTTTTTTGCAGTACTATATGGAGCATTATTGCTCAGGTGTATGTGGCAGAAGGGCAATGCATTTCGTCGCTATGCAATACACTGGCATTATTTAATGGGTTTTCAGATATATAGTTTCACTTTTGCTGTCAGGAAAATAGTATATGATGCTGTCCTGAAAATGTAAAGCATAGATTGCATGAACTGTTGGTTGAGACTCAATTTAGCCATCAAGACAATGATGAATTCTGCCAGTTAAATGACATTTTGGGGACATACGTATTTGCAGTTGTACAGATAATGTTTCAAGAATGGTTATTTGATGACTTTCCTGTTTCCAGCTGAACATTTACGTCTGTATATCTTCATGGCAGGTGCATTTCTAATCTCCTCTTTATTATTTCATTATTAGGGGAAAAAAAATTTCCATAGAAAGAGCTCTTTTAAGTAGCAAATTCACCATGTTCACTAATCAAACTGAAAAAAACATTGTAGTAAAACAAGAGGGGCTACCAGCTCGTGGGAAACATACAGCACAGCGATATAAAAGCTGTATATATGAACAGTTGTATGTAGACACACAGCAGCATCAAAACACAGTTTAACAGGTCCTGTGGTATATTTTGCAGCATGCTCTCTCTGACAAGGCCAATGTGAAAGCATTCGATCCAAAGACAACCTGTTTGCAAGAATGCCTTATCACTACTTTCCAGGAGGCTTACTTTGTTTCAGAAAGTTTTGAAGAAGCCAAAGAAAAGATGAGGTAAATTATTTCCCCTGACTCAAAAATTCAATTTTCTCTTCTTTAGCAGTTCAAAAAAAAGTTATGTTAATTTTCTTTTTTCTTTCAGGGACTTTGCCAAATCAATCAATCGTCCCTTCTCTGTGTATTTCAATCCATATACGCAAAGCATTGAGATTCTGAAGGATACCAGGAGTATAGAAAATGTTGTCCAGGACCTCCGCAGCGATCTGAACACTGTATGTGATGCTTTAAGCAAAATGAACAGATATTTAGGGATTTGATATGTCTGGCACTGTGATTTGCTGTCAGTTGCTCTTTCTGTAGCCAGTTAGATCACATGAGATGGCTAACTTCTCTTACCCATCAGTTTTCCCTCTACAGCTCGGCCTGTGTCTTGCATTGTTGTGTACCTCTGTCTAGATGTAATGTGCAGACAAACCAAGGCAATGCTAATTTGTAAATGCAACACGGAATGTGGCAGAATATAAACAATTCCTCAACACGATGCCATGTACAAGTATACCATTAAAAATTTGACTGGCAATGGTTTCGTTTCCGTAAGATGATTCGCTTCAATGTTTAAGAAATGATGTTGTTGATTTCATTAAGTCTATTTCTTTATAATCCCTTTCCTTCCATAAGAATCCACAAAAAATTATTTGTGACACTTTCATTTTCTTTGTAAGAGAATCTGTATTTCTTTCTATAGTGGTAAAGACACTGTTTTGTCCATATATCTGTAACAGAACTGAGTGTCCCTTGTGACTGAACAATACAATTTGTGTACCAGTGCTGAGATCAGGAAGGCTGTGTATTGGTACTAAAAGGTCTCGGAGATTACACATTATGAGAACTCTCAACTGACAAAAGTTCAGTGTGGCTGAGTAATTGCAACACAATAAAAAAGAAACCTCTGACAATTCATGTAGAAAGATAGTTCTGATTCACACTTGCTACCTGTGACAGTCCTGAGCATGCTTCCTCTGCGAGTGCTATCTGAGAATACGATAATTCCACAGGCCCTTCTACATCACTGTATGCCTTGTGCATTCCCTTGTGTTTTGAACGTACTCCTCTTGCAATTCATGCATAATTTACTTTTCCTCATTATTCCCTATTCAACCTTGACTTGTCCATGCATGACTGGGTCTACGCCGTATTAGTATCAGAACATATAAAACGATGAATATGGAAGCTGTTATTTAATTATAGCCAAAATTATTTTCAGTTAGTAGAATACTTGTGGAGTGATTAAATCATGGAGACACCCAAACTGCCTTGCTTATATTGGATGGATGCAGGTAATGCCTGAGTTAATAAACTCTAAGTTGTCAAGCTCTGACAGATGTACAAGCTCTGTCTGGGGAGCACAGTGCAGAAATATTTGAGCCAGCTCTTACCTGGAAGCAATAATTATGCATGTCTTTCCTTTATCTGGGTTATTCTGTTCTCCTATTAGCCAAGATAATGGAGAATTGACTATATTGTATGGACCCTTCTTAATGGAAACCACATGGCTTACGTGGATTATGTCAATATGGGTGAAAGTGTCACAGCTTGTCTACATATATGGAAAATAGGTATCTATTGAAGCTGCTCTACCAGATGAAAGAGTCATGCAAAGACTCTTAAGTGTTTCTAGCAATTTCAGCATAAAAAGAGCACCACTTGATAGTGCCAGCATATCCTTAAATAAGAGGCAATCTATAAGGATAATTTTCACAGGGAAATCTACCACCTCCTCAAAGATAACTATGAGATAACGGAAAAGGCTCTTTTCTGTGGATGGTCCCTGCTGCATTCTAATGCTGCTGTTAATAGGGTTTGGAAAAATCTAGGTTTAGATTTAACTGTGACTGCCATTTGTACAAATGGATAACTGTTGAATTATCCCATGGGAATCAGCATGCCAAAGGAGTTTTTAACTTCCCAACGTTAGTGCTGACTGTTTGCTAGCACTTAGCACAGGGGAATTGCTGGCAACCTTAGCAGGAAAGTTTGTGCCTCTTTCTTCACGTGAAATCTGATGAACCCTTGTAGCCATTTCTGGAGAAAATGAACTGTACTGAGATTTGCTTTAACTGGTCCGAAAAAATCCTTATGCAAGAAATAGTAGATCTTATTTGATTCAAGAACTGACAAAGTATTGTTGCTTGCTTAAGTAAAATAGAACCACAAAGATCCAAAGCTTCAAAGTTGCTGAGGCTTTCCCTTGAATCAGAATTATGCAGGAAAACTTTAAGTACTTATAATATCTGAATTTGTACTTGAATTCTCTTAATAGCTTGAAGTAAGTATTCAACAGCAGTAAAATAACAGAAGCATATCTTTGTTTTGTTTTGTGCTGTTAGCAAGTAAATCTTATTATGGATTAGGGAGAAACCCTTGAAATCCAATAGTCATTTTAGGACTAATGATGGCAAGGAAACTGTCTACAGTGAAGATATAATGTCAATGAAACAGAACATTGTCAAAGGATAATGGGCTCCCACTGCTAGATATATGCTTAATCCAATGATTTTATTTCTATTATACAACATGATTAAAAATAAATTAACTATAATGGGGTAAGGAATAATAGTGATTTAGAGAGACAATCACTCATTGTTCTTACTTAACAAAGTGGCCTTCTTACAGGCTGCAGAGCAAACTGGTTTTGGGCTTCAGCCAGTCAGGAGCCAGGACTGGGAAGGAATGCTTTAAAATGTGCATTGTTGCACTTTTATGAATCAAATAGTTCCAGTTTAGCTGAAATTCTTCTCTGCAGTTTTTATTAGCAAATTAAGATCAGCCATACAGCAATCTCCTTGGATGACAAGCTCATTTAGGCATAATGTGGGAATTATTGACAGTTATCAAAATTACACTAACATTTCATTTAGAATAGACCATATTTATCTAAGGTGCTTGTTTAGCTTTAGTGAGCTGGACTCTGGAAATTGGACTTCTGACTTAGTCTCATTTATTTCCTGTGTAATTCTGAACTGATGCTTTATGAGTCTGAGATATATGCACTTGCTTTGCCTGCACAGACTAAATGGGCCCAAGCTTAATGAATGTAAAGCATTGCAGTGTTTTACTACCGTGCAAAGTCTAAAATGAAAAACAACACTCTGAGACATGGCAGCAAATATGAATAACAGGTTTCATTTGCCAACTGAGACATGGTTCATGCATTTCATTTAATTTGCTTGATAGAGGGGGTGGAATGGGGAAGGTATTAACACAATATATTGCATTTTCCCTCTCCCCTCTTCAAGACCTGTTGGGAATCCTGTTTTAAGTTTGGCCCTAAAATGCACTTTCGTGAAATAAGGTGTCATTTCCTTTCTTCTTGTTATGATATCCTAATGTGATGGAGAAAATTCCAGAAATTTACTGTACTGTAACGTGTATTTACTGATGCACTGTATTGGATTACAGAAAAAAGTTTCATGTCTTTGAACGGACAGCCTGGCTCAGAGAGCTAAAGCTGCTGAAGGCTTTCACCTACAGGCTGCTGGTGCAAATCCAGCCCAGTCAGCAGTTACTGAAAGCTATCACCAGCCAGCAGCAGCCTGGCTTCTGTGTGATGAACTGGGAAGCTATGATTGCTTAGTTTAGAGTAGAGGAGGCTGAGTGGAGACACGATAACCTTTTTCAAACACATAGAAATAGTTGCAAAATGGAAGGGACAGGCTGTTCTCCAGCCTCAAGAACTAATGGACTTAAGTTGCAGGAAAGGAACATTAAGTTATGTAACAGTGAAACGTGAGGGATAGATTGCCTGGGGAGACAGCAGAGCCTCCATAATTTTTTAAGCGAACAAGGTTAGGCTGCTGTCTCTCAGGAAAGATGCTGGCACAGTCAGTCTCATCTTGAGACCAGAGGAGAGGGAATATGACATCTTGAAGTCCCTTAGAGCAACAACCTGGAAAAGGCTTCAGATGGCTCATAAGAGCAGTAATGGTCAACAGCCACCACTGTAGAGCATTTATATGTCACCTGCACTTCTGCCTCCTCCTTCAGTCTTTGACCAGCCCTAAAGGGTGGTTCTTCATCTTTCTGTCTTTGCTTAGAGAATGAGTAGAATGCATGGTCAGAGTGTAGCCTTAAAGACTGACTATGGTGTTCTATTTTAAGTTCATCAGCCATTTGAGAGAGCTCTCTATGTGGTTTACCTGCTAGTTACAGCTGCCCAGAGTCAGAAGACTGAGATGCAATCAGCATTTGTGGCTTTTACAAACAAGGTTTAAATCTGTTCAACTTCATAAACAAAACAGAAATGCGTATTTCATCCTATCTGTGCCTGCATTTGGGCTGTCAGGAAGACTGCTTCCTTGGACAATGCAGAGAATCTGGAGGTCTTCCAGGCTGCTGAACTTGAGTGCTCCAGCCAGATATAAGCCTTGTGTCTTGGTGGAATCTGGGCGCAGAGCAGCCTGTTCTCCCTAACTCCCCTGATTTCCAAGGAAAAGAAACCCACTGGTGTAGTCCAGAAGGGAACTTTGGTTTAGGTCCAAGTTCCCAGGGAACTTGGGGACTGCACCTGCTGTCCAGCCTGGTGTCACATTAAGGGCCAGGTAAGGATTGATGCAATGCTCTTCCTTTCAGGGAATCAGCTTTGCCAACGTGGAAACTTCTCTTCTTGTTTCATCTGTCAGTGTGTTGCTTTTTAGAAATATGACAGCTTCCCTTCTATCTCAGTAGGAACCACGATCATATTTCCAAATAATTTGTGAAGGGAGTAATTCTGCTATTGTTGTATAATGACTATGCTCTGTGGTATCGATCGCTCCAACTCTGGAGATGTTTCACAGGCAAATTCTCACCTTCTCAGTGAAGAGTTGGACAAACGACTGATTCCTCTTATGGGTTTCAAAGTATGTTTGGGACAGGGCATGAGGAGAAAACTTCTGGTTATACTAGGACATATTTATTAGAAATGAGTCCCTCTAATGACATAGTGAAGGCTGTAGAGGTGTCCTTGGCATCGTTATTGGCAATTTTCTCTGAGCTTGAAGAGTAAACATTGTTCTCAGTTGAAATGCTCTATGAAACCTCTTTTATTTCATTTTGCATCTGGTCCTAGAGAAAAGGTAACTAAACACAAAACCATCAGGATTCAGTGATGTCTATTCAAAAGAGCTACATTTAGTTTAAAAAGACCCTCCAGCGTCTTAGAGTAAGAATTCATATTTCTTTGCCAACAGCTGAGGTAGGGTAGCACTAAAAATAAGTGTTGGCATCTTCTTGGAATTTGGCTGGGAGTGGACTATTCAGGTGGAATAAGTGTGAAATGGTTACATAGTCACATACTTTAAAATGCAAGTGGGTGGTGGATATTCTGGTGGACATTTTTTTTAATATAGTCAGAAATCTCAAATGTCCAGGAAAATAATGGAGAAGAAGCTGCCACTGCCACACTCCACCTTTGGAGGTAAGGAGTTGGGTTTGTGAAGCAGCAGGATTTCGGTGTGTTAAACTGGCACATGACCTGAAACACAACCCAAATATGCCTGCATCGCCGGCTTCTGTGAGAGTTCCAGCATGAATACAATCCTTATAACAGAGCAGCAATGAAGCACTCTAGAGCCAAACGGCCCTCCTCTCCCACAGGAGAAAAAGTGAGTGATTTGAGACCAACAAGACAGAAGTAAAATCACTTTTATTTCCTTTTAGAACTTTTGGAATATGGTACTATTTTATTTTTTCATAATGGTTCTAAAGAGATGTTAATTATGGAATGGTTGATGCTCTTAGCGTTTTCTTCCTCAAGCTTTTCTAGTTGTCAGTAAAACCCAGTCTTGATACTTTATGTGAGAGTAATGCTGATTATGTGATGCTGCCATTTCCCAGGGCTTGACAATCGGTGGGTACATCTAGTGCTACCCTCCCTCACTATTCCGTCTTGCAGTGAATTACAAACCTCAGAGATGTGAATAAGGCCAGATAATGGTAAATGAGTTTAAGGTTATGCACACAGTGGTTTTGCCACTCTAGCAGAATTTGTCAGGAGGATCAATCTGAGTTCCCTTTTAATGATCACCCCGATAGATCACTTGCCCGCAGAGTTATGAAAAAACAAGTGTCTCTCATCAAATGGGAATCAGGGAGTCAAAATCTCAACTGCGGCAAAGCCAGCACATGTTCCAAGAGGCGTTCTAGTGCCAGCGCCAGTCAGTTCAATTAGAAGTAGCTTGAAATAGAAAGGCTAAATTTTACCTGCAGGTCTCAACTCAGCCACTGTTTTCTGAAATAGATCCATGTCTGCTGGAGCAGAGCTAGAGTAATAAGTCAGGCATGCAAAGGCTGTTCCTTATTTCATTTGCAGGTATTTTTTAAAAGAAAATGTTA